GGGTGAGGGGTGTTTATGATTTATTTTTAATCTCAAAATTGTATTTTTGCTTTAGTTAAGTTCTTACATTTGTCTAAGCTTTAGGTTGTTGTTTTTTCAACTCTTCATTCATTAGCTAAGATTGCCACTAATATAAAAGTGTAATGCCAAATAAATATTATTATTTATTATGTAGTAAAACAATAGGCCTAGGCACCTTTTTTATGTGAAAAGCAACAATGCGAAAGTGCCAGTAGAATAGGACGGACAAAAATAATTAGATGTCTTTACAATTATACTGTACTTATTCTACCCAGCTACGGTTAAAACCTTTTAAATAAAAAACTAAAGTGGACCTACTAAATTGGTTAGTGCAGTAGTATATTCGAGCTAAGTTTCATGGAGAGTAAAATATTGGTATTTGGTTACTGTATTGATTTATTGTATTGGTTATATTATAAAATGTTCCTATATTGAAATAGTTTCTGTATACGGTACACATTGCATACTGTAGGCCTACTCCAAAAATAATGCCACAGAGGGCGGTGTACCTAAATCAGGGATATGGTGCTGGTATAATTGTGATTGTAAATGTGGGAGTGCGTATAAACAAGAAAGAAATATATTGACTAGCAATTTTCTGTAGCAATAAGTTGTACTTAGCGAAGTTCATGTATTTATGTAATCTAATTTATTAGATAATGACCTTTGTATATTTATTTATTTATTTATTTGACACTATTATATGTTGAGAGGGTGACTCCAACACAGCAATGCTGACTTGAAGAGGCCCTCTCAAAACAATTCAAATACAGATAATTAAAATACTAACTACAATGAAATAGGATATGAGAAAAATTTAAAAATATTCTATAGTTCAACTAATTAAAATTGCAGATGATAATATTCCATAGCTAAAATTATTTAAATTGCAGGAATTTGTTAGTTGCTTTTAAAACAGGGAGCAACAAAAAAATAAAAGAAACTAATGATAATATAGACCTAACTCATTGCACCCATAAACAAACACCAATGAAAATTGTACTTTAGAATATAAAAGAGATCGTTAAAATTTGACAATTTAGTTCCGTTCTATTTTGTGTATCATCAAAGAATAAGAGGTCCCACTGGCATGATTATCTATGCAGGCAAATGGAACGTTAAAAAAGTACTACCACGCAATAGGGGGCGCCCGAACTCGAACAACAGGCAGCACACGTCTGTTTGGAAAAGAATCCCCGGCAGTGGAACCTTTTGCAGTTTTATACTCTTTGGTATCATCTACAGTCAGTCCATTTTGAAATTATATTTGTATATAGATCAGTATCGAGGTCAAACACACTAAACAAAGAATAACAGGCTAATAATTTGTTTAACGAATTACGATACTGTAAGCAAACTGCAACTACTAAAATAACTGATGTTGTAGGCTTACTGCTATTGTGGTTCCTGGCTGCCATTCAATATAATTCACCCAAAATTGGCTTAATATTTTCAGATAGAAGGAAAGTACAGTAAACAAGTTCAGAATTTTGTTTTTTCTAGTGGTAATAAAGACAATGATGCTAATTTTCCATTATATTCAACAAGTTTCTTGTAATTTAATACCGGTAGCGATTAAATTGTTCAACGTGAAACACCTTAAGCCAGTCAATAATTTAAATATTTCAGCTTTAAGAGATCGTATGCAAATCTTGTATACCAACGGTTTATCATTTGTTTCTTTATCAGTTTGGGATCTTCCTTAGCATTTCATCTGACTCATGTGCTAGACATTAGTCAACTTATCAGTTGATATATATTCATATTATTATCAAGGTCCAATGATCATATTGGGTGTATGATAACAATTATGCTTGCTTATCAATATAAACACAATTCTACAATGTATAATACGGTAGATCAATATAGATGTATACACACATAATATGTTGTCATAGTGAAGTACTATTTATGCGGACATTTTATCTCCAAAGTGACAGCGATATTGGCGGATACGTAAATTTATTTTGGTACTGGCATTTGCCATTCCATGTCAGGAATATTACATAATTCTTTATTAGGATACTCTTCATTTGAGTATTTTATTAAGAGTTATTTTATCATATTACTATTATGTACAGCGTTCAAAATTTATACCGTATTTATTCGAATAAACGCCAAGGGAGTTTGTTGTTGAGAAGGGCTTTTGAGGAGGCGTTTATTCGAGGGAGTTTTTTTTTGTGTGTAAAATTGATACGTATACATGCAAATAAAGCCCCTTAATTTCGCTGTAAATGTGGAACCTCAACACATAATCTCATCAAATGTGTTATGGTATTGCATGATCACTGTCTCTTATACACATCTAGATGTGTATAAGAGACAGCTGTAGGCCTACTCCAAAAATAATGCCACAGAGGGCGGTGTACCTAAATCAGGGATATGGTGCTGGTATAATTGTGATTGTAAATGTGGGAGTGCGTATAAACAAGAAAGAAATATATTGACTAGCAATTTTCTGTTGTACTTAGCGAAGTTCATGTATTTATGTAATCTAATTTATTAGATAATGACCTTTGTATATTTATTTATTTGACACTATTATATGTTGAGAGGGTGACTCCAACACAGCAATGCTGACTTGAAGAGGCCCTCTCAAAACAATTCAAATACAGATAATTAAAATACTAACTACAATGAAATAGTTTGTATGAAATTTTTCCTTAGTGTTGATCCAGCAAAATAAAAACCAATAGTACTCACACTACGTTTCTGTCTCTTATACACATCTAGATGTGTATAAGAGACAGCCTCTGAGCCGATCAATTTTCCTTTTCT